GTATGCAGCTTTCGAGATCATTAAATTTTAGTATAATAAAGTGCAAGTTGAAAGTGGCTAAGAGCTTAGATTGATATTTAATAATATAACAAACGCTTTTGTTATCCTTTAGCATGCAGCTGTGCTCGACATGTTAGCGAAAAAAATTATTAAAAATAAACGCGACCTCTTAGCCACTTGCAAATTGCACTTTATTATACTAAAATGTATTGATCTATAAAACTGCTTACCCAACAGTTTTCTAGAAACTAAAATTTTCTTTTAAATTTTGGTGTGAACATTTTTTTATAACATTTCAAATTTTTCTTGTTCTTTTTTCGTTCTGGGGGAACTTTACAATTGTTTTCAATTAGTTTTTACTATGTAACATTTATTAACTGGAACAGGAAAATCGATTTTGCTTTTCTTTCTGCACTTTGCACTAAAAATTTTAATATAAACAAATAAATAATTCAAATAATCTCTTGCTAGTTTTGTAAGTTCTTATAAAAAAAAACATCAAATTGGTAAAAAAATTAAGTCTCCACTAAATTATGAACAGTGAAATCTAGTTTTGAACCACTGTGCGCTGCTGCGCATGATTGTGTTATCGGCCAAAGATATGTAAATATGTATGCGCACCGAAAATAAGTATATATCCGTACCTTTGCTGCAAGAGTGTCATAATCAAAAAAAATATATATTTTTTTTTAGTCAAGCATGCACGAAATGACCTCTATTATCTATGTTGTATACAAATTTCATAGCTGTATCGATTAATCATAGCTCATTATAAGAAAATGTGCCTTCATTTTTACTATGGGAGCGTTTTTAAACTGTAAACTTTAAATCCGTTTTTCTCAAGTTTTTGATTTTTTGTATTATGACACTCTTGCAGCAAAGGCACGATATGTATTTCCACGTTTTTTATTAGCTAAAAATACGCTAAAATTACTGAGTGCCGCAGCTGCTAGTAGTCACAAAATGTGATCGCTAACTTATTACTGCTGCTGCATGCTGGACATACATATATGTATATAGAAGATCATTAAATCGTTTGTGCAAGCAAGCGTAGAACTGAGCGAATCAAAACCAAGCTCGTGTTGAGTCTTTGAGCCTGACTTTTCAGAGAGAGAGAGTGTGCGCCGTATGAGAAGTATCCAAGATTGGCGCGCGGCGCTGAGTGGTGGTGTGTACTGATGGCGGTTACTTTCCATTTACTGCGCTGTTTACGCTCAGCGTTTGTTTTGCTGCTTCATTTGTGTCTCGACTTTGCGTTGGCTTCGGTGTTTGCACACCTTTTCGTCGTGTTTATTAGTGTATTTTTCGGCTTATTAAATTGTGATTTAGTAATTACATTTTTGGACTTTTACACAACTGTTTTGAGTTTATTTTCCTTTCCAATATGTTTGTAGCAAGTGTAAAGTTGGAGAAAAATTGCTTGGGCATGTGAAGAAAAATCCATTATTTGTGGGGACTTGAAGATAGCCTGAAGATACCTGTTTCTGATAAGCACACATGAGAGTGAGGAAATATACGCACATAAAAAGTTATGTATTCACATATATATGTACTCCCGGCATGAATAGCGATTTGGTATTTTGGTGTAACAACTAGCAAATTAGTATTTGCGATAAATTTTCAAGTCGACGCAGCGCAAAAAAAAAATCTAAAAACCATTTATTTCTAAGCTCCGTAGCCACCTACAATGCATCCACGTAACAGCAATTTTGCAATATTATTTTGTGGCATTCTGTTTGCCGCAATTTCGTTGTTAACAGCGCCAACAACAGCACAGCAGCAACAAGTTACCGTGCACCTGTTGGGAGTGGGGAGCGAACGAGAGGCAATTGTTGATGCCCCCAACTGGCATGCAAAATTCACACCCCAGCAGTTGCAAATGCATATGGGCACCAGCGCTGAAGTATTGCTGGAACTAACAGGTATGCACAATTTACACATAATGTTAAGTGGGTGAATAACAGAGGTGCACTTTTTGCTGTTAAATGCCCTGTAATGGGAATGTAATTTCTGAAATGTGCAGTAAATACTGCTTGGTTTTAAATATATGTACATATATATTTTGTGAAACTTTTTATTAAAAAAAAATAAATAAATAACTATATATAAAAATTAGACCGTAGCACGATGTAAAGGCCAAAAAAGTTCGAATTGTCTTCAAGCGTTTTTTCTAAATTTTTTTGCAAGCTTTTTTCTATCGTATATAGGGGGTACCATTTGCAGAAAAAAATTATAATTTTTTAATTTGTCTTGATAGGATATTCATTTTTTATACAAATAAAACCGATTTAGGTTCTTTTAACAGGATGGCAAAAAACATTTACACTCCTGAAACTCTCATAGTGAGTGCTGAAAATCGCTTGGAGCAAATTAAGCTTTTTTTTGTAATACGGTCTAATGCACATGAACCGAGGTCGTCAAAATCGATTTCTGATTAAGAGATAATTGTTAGGGTAACAATTTGTCTACATAAATGATTTTAGAATTTCTATTAACCACTTTTTGACCAAAATCAGACTACCGCAACCGTTGCCAGAAATGGTTTGAAAACTCAAAATCTTTATTTAATCGAGTAGGAAATAAAAGCTGCCTTTTTTACTAGTCCTTTTTTGGAATACGATGTTCTTCCAAGTGATTTTTTTTTCTAAAAACAATTAAATAAAACTAATTTTTATCTGTTATATACCCAAAGCTTAATACAATTTTATAAGAATATTCATACCACTCATAAATTCTTCACAGATTTGCCCCTGAACGCCGCATTTGAAGTGCTTAGTGAGAATCCTAATTTGGCCAGTGTGCAGCATCTCATACCAGCGGATGTTATTAATTCAACTACCCTTGAATGGCGCGGTAACATCACAGTCGATGCCATCTTTCTTGGCTCCACAAAAGCCTTTGTGCGTCGCGTCAATACCACAGATCGCGCTGACGGTACGCTCGAGCTAACAATCATACGACGCACGCGCATCATCGATCACATCTTTACCGGTTCTGTTGCGTTACTCGTCTCGCTGTTGTACATAAATTTCGGCGCCGCTTTAGATGTAACAGTGTTGCGCAGCTTATTGGCGCGTCCTGTTGCGCCCATCATTGGCTTTCTTACGCAGTTTATTATTATGCCCCTCTTGGGCTATGGTCTGGGTGTGCTCATATTTCCCGATTCGCCAGAATTGCAGCTCGGTCTCTTTTTTACGGGCGTTTCTCCGAGTGGTGGCGCATCCAATATCTGGGCTGTCATCTTGGGTGGCAATATTAATCTATCCGTGCTGATGACCACCATTAGCAATTTTGCTGCTTTTGGCATGATGCCATTGTGGATTTTCACGCTCGGTCAATTGATTTTCGATCGTGCAAACATTACAGTGCCCTATGCAAATATTGCTACATTTGCGGTATCGCTAGTAGTGCCGCTTGCCATCGGACTGGTCATACAACGTTGGTTACCACGCGTAGCACGTGTGCTGGTACGGTTGCTCAAGCCGATTTCCACCTGCCTCATACTTTTTATTGTAATTTTTGCGATCGTTACAAACCTTTACTTGTTCAAATTGTTCTCGTGGCAGGTAAGTGAAAGAGAGTGGCCGAGTTTTAATATGTTTTAATTAAAATTTTTTTGATTGTTTTCACAGATTATTGTTGCCGGGTTGGCGCTGCCTTGGCTGGGTTACGTGTTTGGGTGGTGTGCGGCGAAAGCTTTGCGTCGCAGCTCCGTTGATTCCCTCACGATTGCCATTGAGACTGGCATACAAAATACGGGCATTTCGATTTTCCTTTTGCGCTTCAGTTTGCCGCAACCAGAAGCCGATCTGACCACAGTCATACCTGTCTCTGTGGCCATTCTAACACCGTTCCCACTACTAGGCTTGTATATCTATAAGCGTTGCGCTGAGCGTGGCATCGTAGAGGGACAAGTGGACACGCAAACGATTACACCAACTCATAGAAATTAGGGGACAAAGCGTGCACAGGGAGTTCGGAAGTGATCTTTACGGAGTTTTATTATTACATCACAACTTAGATATTTCATGGGTAGAGGGGCTTACAAAAAAGCGCCAGCATATTTTTTTGTTTGTGGTTTTATTACATTTTTTTTATCGTAGCCTTAACGTATTACGAAGACTTCTTAACAATGCGACAGTAAAAAAATAGCTTTAAAGTTTGTTAAAAAATTGTGCCGCAAAAAGAGTCGCCTTTATCCTCGCTTCTCGGATAGAAATAAATTAGCATTTGTTAGCGTGTAATGCGCCTGCATTTTACATTTAAAAGCAATATTCTATATTTATATTTTCTGTTTAAATTATACACAACAATTTTGTGCAATAAATCTTTTATTTAAATACAAAAACGGACCCACTTTAATCTCTAAACACGCCATTTTTTCTGTAGCAAAATTAGTTTTAAATTTCTTTTGTGGCAGAGAAATAGCTTTTTCTAAGCAGCTTCATTGCCACTTGTTTGTAGCAGCACTTTAATTAAACAATTTATAGTTTGTACATCTAGATTGAGTTTCTTAAACTCGTATAAATACCTTATGTAATTAACTGTACCGCTAAGATCGACCAAATTCAGCAAATTCGGCGTTAAATTATAACAATTTACTACAGCGAGTAAACGCGCTACCTCCTCCGCTGTAAGATCAGTAACAACGCTTGGCTCAAAGCTGCTGGCGCTGATGAAGCGACGCAATGGCGCCGCTAACACTCGCCGCGTATTCTCAATGAACATTTTGAATCTTTCCAGCTGCGCATGCATCAGTTCGCTGGTCAGCAATATATGTGGTTGCTCATATTTTTGCATATACAAATCAATCAACTTAATTTGCCAAACATCGTTGCATTGGGGCTTAACTTGCATGCGTTGGATGAGCTGTGAGTATGTGAGAAAAATTATTTGTAAGCAATGTGTAATGTTTAAGGTTTTTCGTTTCGTGAAGTAAATTACACTTCCGTGCTTTATTTAGGGTCGGGTAAATATTGCATATCTTACTCACATTGAAAGTCGTCAGATAAATGGGTAACACATGCATCTTATCCTTGATGACGGCATTGTAGAAGAGCATTGTTAGCTGCTGTATCTTAAGCAATTCGTCTTGTGTAATAACCTCGGCATCGATATGTAAAAACCGATCGGTGAAACTCGTAACGAATGGATCATTGGAGAAGCGCTCCAGTGCAGTAGCATTAACATGCCAGCATGTATACTGCTCGGTGGTGAGCGTTTGCGCAAAGAGGCTCTTCAGACGATCGGGATCTTCCAGGTGAGAAAGGCAGCCGGAACGTTTTTTAATATCAATACAAGCGGAGTTTTTTAAAGCTTTGCTGAAAGTTTAAAAAAATTTATTTGTGTAAACAATTAAAAATATCGTAATTTACGCTTACATCAATTGCGACCAATTGCGTTCCTTCTCAAAGCAAACTGGCCAATAATTGGCGTCGTCTACGATTACTTTCTGCAAATTGTCTAGAGGTGGCAGCATGCAGGGTGCCATGGGGAGGCGACGCAGTTCCTTACTACCCACTTCCAGCACTGATATTTGACAGAGACATAACTTTTTCGTATCGATATCCCGTGGCAGAAAGAGACGCGGTTCCACGGCCAGCACATACAAATGGCGGAAGGCTTGCAGATGATATCTAAGAAAAATTATGTGATTAAGTAAAAGTATTACTGTATCTGGGCCACAATACGGAAGTGAAACTTTTCTCAAATAGTTTCTGGTTTGATTTCAAATTCCCGACAAAGAGCGAATAAGGAAGGGAGACGCACTTCCGTTTAATCCGTATTATAGACTTTTTATTTTAATCTTTCACTCACCTATTGTCGTTGCTGTGATTCGGAAATTTGGGAAAGAATGCACAAATCAACGCCGCCACCGCTTCCGGAGTATTAGCAATCGTATAGCGTCCGGCACCCAAGAAGAGCAACCCCAGCGACATGTGTATAGCCATTTGTGAACCGAATGTGACATTAGGATTGTAATTGACGCGACAACGATCACGAAAACTGATGCGTGAACGCAAATAACGTATGATGCGCAAGATTTCCAGATCCCCCGAACCGGCGAAAACCAATGAGATTGCAATCAGAATAACCATTAGGCAACACTCCACCGTTGTGTAGCCAGCGAATTCGAATACATGTTTACTTTGAAAACCAATAAATGTTTTAAGTGCTTTATGCAAGGTTTTGAAAGCTTCCGGATTCTCGCTACCCGCGTATTTGAGACCCATGCAGAATGAAGCGCCCGCAATGACATTGCACCAAGCTTGACTGTAAGTCAGAGTAAATAGTTAACTAAATTTGTATATTTATTTGTGTAAATACTCACGCTTCGGATTCATAGTCAACGCTCGTCTCGTACTTATCACCCCAATAGTAGGGACGTTCGAGATCTATTTTGAAATTCGACGGAAACTGGCCAAATAACCACTCAGCGTCGGGCTTTATATCGGCCCAGAGTATTAAACCGCGCGCAATCGAGCGCAACATAAGCAAGTCGGGACGCACCAAGTCAAGCAGATAATGCGTGTTTGGTGGATCCATCCACTCGGCGACGGCGCGATTATTCGTATTGAAGAACATGAGGCCGAGTGCTAGTGTCGCACCGGGTGCAGTAACATCGATATTGACATTGTCACCTTCGCGCACTTGAAATGAAGGCAATTTGTATTTTTCCTTTTGCGAGCCGGTGAGTTGTCGTTTATTGCCGCCAACCATGTAATAGTGGAGTGTATCGGGAATTTGAAGATCAAGCAGGCCGGCTGGCGAATCACCCAGGCCCAACGTGACTAAGCCCAATGCAAGACCGGCGGTCAAAGCATACGATTCGCGTTCGATGCTATTCTCCATTTCCGGACCAGGTGGCCGACCTGCAGAATGGATTTAAAAAGTATGAAGAACTGGAAAAGCAATTTTTTTCTTCTTATTTTGCGATGTAACCGCATAAGCAACCTGGACCGAGTCTCATAGTCGTTAACTTAAACACTAATAATTTATTTTTTTTTAACTTGCCACTCAGCTTAACAAGCCTTTTTCTTACGCCAGACTCTGTAGAAACAGCCGGCTTCCTTGATCTGCCCGTAGATGAAAAGTGGTGCCGATACAACAATAACAACTAACTTCGGTAGTATATTTAAAAAAAAAGAAGAAATTTGAGTAATTTTTCAGCCACTCACCTACTTCCTGCAACAGCACCTCGGCAATATGACGTTTCGCAGATCCCTGATACAACAGTCCGATGCCCATGAGTGAAGCTACCTGTATATTTTGTGGTATATCCAATTCCAAAGCGGTCGTTGGCAACAACGCTTCAATGTGTAAACTCAATAATTTTGTTGTTGTATTATCCATACCACCACGATGCGTTGCAGAAATGCCCAAGAGCAAACCGACGCTAGTCATCTCATCACATTTTACCAAATATTCATAGATGCTCATAAACGAAAGTGTTTTAAGGTGACCATTCAATCCGAGGGCCATGAGGAAGCCCGCATGCTCCGTCGAAACGTCTTCTTGTCCCTTAGGTTTATTATAAACGATCCATGTCGAGTCTACATCGCGTGCTTGCGGTGAAATTTTCAAACCCGCAGCGACGCCATTGTGGAATGAGGGCCAAAGACTCATATTCGGCGGTAGTTCGATTTGTTGCATTTCAATTGTGGCACCCTTTACCGGCTCCTTGCCTGAGAGACACAACTTGGGTATTGGCATCAACTCGGTGGGTGTTGGTATGGAAGTGCGCAGCGTAAACATACCACGTCCCAATGGCAGCGCCATGGTGCGTTTGCACAGTGCAAACAACTGACGTTCTTGCTCCTCTATGAAACGATGATCAGTCATGCCTGGCTTCTGCACAATGTCAATCAGCACAGGCTCTGAAGAGGTGAGTAGTCGACGTACTTCGGCAATGCGCATATCATCGGGAAAGCGTAGATTTAATAGCTTTGTATCAATATTGTCCATGCCATCGTCGAGTGCTGCCTCCATGTGTGAGATGCCATTGGTGGCGGGTGGACAGCGAGCGGACAAAGAATCCTCAGCATCCACATGTGATTTTGGTTGCAGTCTACCGACCGCATGAGATGGCAAATTGTCTTGCAACAGCGCATGCGCAACCAACTCAGTACGCAAAATTAGCTCATAAGTGGCGGCTGAACAGCCGATAGGAGGCGAAAGGCGCGCATGCTCCAGACATTCCGCTATGATGAGATGCAGCGCGACAGGGAGGCGTGAAATGTCGGCGCGTGTGATTCCTGTAGAATAAATATGCAGTAGACAAAGTAAAATTACAAATTATAAAGTGTTGGTGTAAGAGGTGCATCTTTTTTAATTTAGAAGAAAATATATGTATTGTCGTCTACTTACCCATATTGATGAGCATTTGTATGACTTGCTCGGAACGCGGCACATTCGTTGATATAAAACGCTTAGGGCGCTTAGGATAATACGTTTGGACTGAGTCAACAAATTCTAAAGGTTTGATCCATTCTTTAATTTTCTTCTTGCCGTGCATTATCAGAGAAACCACCTTTATATGTATATAAAGTAATATTAGGTTGAGAAAACTTTCTATTAGCATTTTTGTCTACCTGTAGCACATTTCGGCTCATATCGTTGAGCCCGTCTACAAATGTATACTGTAGGGTATCTTTGTCTTTTAAAATATGTTCCACCTGCGTGTAAACGCTTGGCGCAGGCACCTGTAGTAGCTCCTTATGAGTCATTAGAGCCGCATGTTCTTCGGTAAGCTGACACAATTTCGCCATTGAGTGCACTAAGTGTGGAAAATCCAACGTATAATGAAATACATACATTGTCAGTTGCATATCGAGTGCAAATTGATGTAAAAACTACATGAATATAACAAAAACATGAAAGTTTATATTTTATAAAATTTTGCACACACAACGCTAACCTTTGCCAAATACGGCAGGCAATCATGCATCGTTTCATCCAACTTAAAATCTTCATAAAGCAAGTGGAAACCATAGAATATGGCTGGTATAGTGTTGAATAAACAAGCGCTTGTATCGACATTGCTCGCCACAGCCGCAGTCGCTCCTTGCTCCGTTTCCATCTTCATGTTGGCGCTCACACCGCCGCTACTACCAGCGCCATCTTCATTGAGCACAGCCAGCATGAATTCCCAATCCTCATTGGTACCTTCAGTGATTTCATCATTTTTTCGCCGCTTTTTCGGTTCTTCTGCATTGAAAGAGGCCGATGCGTTGGTGGTGGCCTCATGTGTAGCCGCACCACAGCCCATTAAATCAGTTAGTAGATTACGAAAAATATGCCACTCCTGTTCAATGCTGTAATCACGAGAACCAGGCGGATTACGCGCACCATACCAGCGAGTCATTAGAAGCATAAATTGTTCTCTGTTTAATATACGTCGCAATGTACCAATGCAGCGTGAAATGAATTTTGTTTCATTGAATTGTGGCAACTCAATGCGATACATTTTCCCGAAAGGATAGACCAATGTGAGGCGATTACCAGCAGGGTCACGTAGGCTTAAGCAAATATTGCTAGTGTTGCTGCAATTCAAAAAGGTAAACATTTTAAACTATAAACGGCTTTAAAAATATTTTTAGCATTACCGATTTGGAAATTGTGGTTGCAGAGGATGTACAGGCGATAAAAGATGCAATTCATCGCCAAAGGTTGTATCCGAGGGTTTCTGTATTGTGGGTAATAGGCTGCTACGTCTGAAAATCGACGAAATAAAATAAATTTATATCTGAGAACTTCAAATTGAAGAGACATTTATATTTTCACCCTCTTCCTACCGTGGAAATGGCGAGTTGGGTGATTTTCCTGCTAGCGTACTAGCCGTTGCGGTTGGTGTGGGCGTCACATTACCTGCGCCAGAACATACGCTGGTGCTGCCCATAGCTGCAGCTACATGTACTTTAGCGACAAGCACTGCACCCGTATATAATATCAAACTGCCAGAGGGATCCAAAACGGCAATCATGCGTAGGCGCTAAGATTGTGGAATTTAAAGTGTTGTCAAAATTTTTGAATTTTTAAGCAGTATAGAAGTACCTCTAAAGAAACCGCATCCTTGGCTGGAATTGATAAACATTTATTGGATATTTGCAAATCCTTTGTGCCATAATTGCTTAGCCGGACGAGTTGCAGTTTGCACGAAAATGGTAGCAAGTAGCAGAGGTAAGTTTGGGCCACTAGGTCAGTGTGTATGAAAGCACGACTAGAGATTTCACCGAATTCGCGGTTGGTACTAGATGGAAAGCGTAAGTAATATGAATTCATAAAGAAATGAATACTTAGACGCACTTGCCATATGTGTTTTCAGTCCACATATGCTCCAAACATAATTCCGGCACTATAGGTTTTGAAGGTTGAGCCTGACCCACTCTTCGTATGTCTTGCATAGATATTGAGTGTTGACCGATTGATGATTGTAGATGATTCAAAGGCGGAGCAGTCCGACTTAAAAAAAAATTAGGAATTAAGGAAACTATTTTAAAATTTATGTACATATATAACTTATTGACTACTTATTCATATGTATTATAGCCGTTAGGGTAAGAATTATGCAAAAAAGCTTTTAGTATTTAAACGCATAATTTAAAATATATTTAATTAAAATTTCTTAAAATTACTAATTATGTCTGTCATACTAACTTTAAACATCCGAATGCTCCGCTCAATGAGTGAGCACTAGACAAAAACTTGCCAATATGCGCCGAATAGTTAGGATTTCCTAAGCTGGAACGGCCTAAATGTGCTGTACTGTGTTTTGATGTAGCTGAAAACCATACAAATCAAAAAAAAGGACTCACTTTTGCTGCACAAAACTTGCCTGGACCGCCAATACCACCAGCAGTACCCCGATTTATAGAATTATGTGGCAGTCCGCCGACAATGCCAGTGAGCGCAGTTTCATTTTGCGCACTCACATACTGTATTTCCTCCTCAGTTGCCTTCCGAAGTCGTGAAATAAATTGTTTTCCAATTTTGTTGTCATACAGTAGTACCAGCTCTGAATTCTCCGAAGTGAATATTATGCTATAATCGGACTCTACAAGGTAACCAACAACATTTGTAGCTGATTTGCAGAGAACTGGACAAATTTCATCTAACGGATGCGCGAGCGAGAATAGGCGTGGCATTGAAATGGCATGATTTTGGATAACAGCGCTTGAGGCTACTTTCTCCAATAGAATACCATACGATGTGGGCCACACATGCGATACAGGAAACTCGAGATTGCAAAGGAAGTCCTCGCCATTGCTGCAGTAGATGCGGAGTGCAGTTTGATCTAAAAAATTAACTAAATTTAATAACTTATTTGTAGTTCGTTTAATGTTTTCCCACCAATCAAGCAAATAGCACTATAGTCTTCATCCTCTTCTGTATCCAACTTTATGTTACTGCTATTATTGTTGTTGGTTCGCCTATTTCGGCTGCTAGTTACAAAGGACTTGTTGCAGAAAAACGCAAATTTGATTGGTGACTCGCAAGTGAAGCACAAGCGTGGCATTATACTATTATCGTCAAGCAGGCCTGAAAGAAAGACGTTTTGAATGTTAAAAATGAGTTTACCTTACAATCAAAATCACCTTTTGTCCACACTGCTGTATGCTTTTTTACGTATAGTTCCTCTTCGGAATTGACCAAGTACTCGCACATGTAATCAACGTCCGCATAGGCTGCGCGCTGTTGCTGCAATAAATATTCGGCGCTTCCACTGCTACTATTATCATTCGACTTTTCATGGTCAGTTCTATTTTTTTGCCCATCTTTTTGTTGATTACACTGATTGGTACGCACTCCGGTTTTATCGTTTAAGTCCTCGAAAATTTCTCGTACACACCAGAATTCGTTATGCTCATCTGAAGCGGAAATGTTTACATTTTGCATGCGTTGTAGCAGCACATGCTCGGTAGGCAAGTGGTTGTGCTGTTTTACATCAGTGGGACCTGGATGCTCCTCAACCGCCTGACGACCCCGAGGAATGAACTCCTGCAGGCAGAAAGGTGGTTACTTTCCAATAGAGATTTTCGGACGATTGTGGGCCACTTACCAAAGGTTCAGAGGCGGCAATCATAACTTCGCTAGTTTCATCCAGATTTGCAAAATTTGCAGTTTAAAATGTTGTAAATAAATTTTAG